TACATTTGTCATGACATCCAAACTCCGAAATGGCCAACATTTTTGGTTTGCGCATACCAGGCTATCAGAATCCTGATACAAGAAAGACACACCTGTTCATCACAAAGCACAATTTGCCCAAACTCAAAATAGCGGCCAATCTGAGGTTGGGCAACATAATAAGCCTACGCCTTAGTTTGCAATATTTTGTTAGTGTCACAAAAATTGGACTTTTCCAAATGCCTGTCACCAGATTTCCCCAACTGTCCTTCTGATTAAAAACCCCGTATCTTGTTAATTTCTCCTAAATTAAAGACTTCTACCCTGATCGTTTTTGCAGTTTAAAATTACAGACTATGGGGGGGGGAACCATTCTCCAGAATATTTGAGAGGCTACCACTGATTTTTGTTTTCCCAATAATTCCATGGTGAAAGCCAGTTTGATACAGTGGTTAAGGCTAGAAACCAGGATACCCTGAGTTCTAGTCCTGCCTTAGGCTCAAAACTGGCTGGGTGACGTTGGGCCAGTCACCCTCTCTCAGCCCTTGGAATGAGTCAATGGCAATCCACTACCAAAATCTTGCCAAGAAAACCACAAAGGCTGGTCTAGGCAGTCACCAGGAGTCAATCAAGACTCAAAGGCAGACACCCCCCAAAATCCATGGTGAAACATCAACATCCAGCTAGAAATCAACATCCAACTAGCAACATCCATCGACAATGTAATCAAAAGTGACAACGATGGGCAAAGAGAAAACCCCAAATCTTTGGTGCCTATCAAGCTCTGTTTTTATATGGTTTAATTTAAACAAAAAAGAAAACATGCTGAAGAGTAAAATATCAGCTTCATGAAAAAGAATTCTCTTTATTGTGGTTGAAGACTAGTAGGTACAAAACTCAGTAATATAAGACCGTTTACATCAATATAAATGTGCAAATCATAAAATTAACTGGACTATCAACTATCAACTTCACATGTAGCAAGAAACAAGGAAACAAGGTCATACAAATCTGAAAATAAAAAATAGTAAATTAAAACTGCTCAAAATGACTGGGAAATGTTATTTAAATGCGAGGTTATCAACTCTGAATATGTGTCAACATAAAAGGAGTAATGTAACAAAACATGTTTTACAGTTTCAACCGTTCTACCAAATGTCAAGCATGTTTGCAACAAAACCTCTGACCATAGGAGCAATATTAGGAAATAAGAAATAGAACCAAATAAAACTTAGAAAAATTAAAATTTAGAAAAACGATTGGCTGAAACCCAGAGCTTCATTTATCCTCTGGCAGGTCTGTGGGAATCAGCCACATCAACCGTGGGAGACATTTTGTGAGAGTTTCCATCATAAGCTCCCAAATATGGCCCTTGAGCAGATCGAAGACCGCTTATTTCACAAAGCCAGGGAAAAGATGAAAGACGGAGATAGCATAGTTGACAAAACTACCCCAATACCAGGGCAGAAATCGTAACTCCTGTAGCATCGAGAAGCGACAGATATAAAAGCAGATTAAGGCAACACAAGCGTGCAGACAAGGAAATTATTAGAATTTTGTCAACAGCATTCAAATTCGTAGCCTTGGGTCAATTAAAATCTTTGACTTTCCGGACAAAAAAGACTGGGAAACTCCCTTATAATTATTTTTAACCTCCAGATATTGCCAGTTCACTCCCTCTACCAGAGCTATCCTAAAATGGACACCGGTTAAAAATATCTGCTAGCTGGACTGGGCTGGAGGTTGTTGGGCTTTCATAAAGTGGAAAAGCTTTTGAGGAACATCTTACAAAATTCCTGTGGAGAACACAAAACCCTTTTCAGATAAAACTGGCTATATAGAGAAGGGTCAGGAGGCCAGAAATGCCACACTGAACTCCTTGGGACAACTAAGACCAAATAAAAATAACTGACCGAGAAAAAAACGAAAGAGTTCAGCTCTTTCTATAAGCAGCTTTCTAACTGTGAAGACCGAAAATGGACAGTCAGTTCTGCCATTCTGAGACGGGGAAGAAGCCAAGCCCTAAAATTGGTCCTGTGCATTTATCAGAAACAGCTCCTTCCCCCCCCCCAAAAAAAGCCCCCTTTGATAGGTCAGAAGGAAACACCTGGTCAGGCTGCGGCTCTCAAAAAGTGTGAATGGAAAACAGCGAGTGGACGACAAATCACGGTCCATCTCTGGCTTAGCTTCTGATAGCAAAGGAGAAGGGAAGACATATTTGGAGATACAGGTAGTCCTCAACTAAACTGATTCGTTTAGTGACCATCTGAAATGACAACGGCCCTGAAAAAAGCGACTTATGATGGTTTTTCACACTTACGACTGTAGCAGCATCCTCAATGTCACGTGATCAAAATGTGGATGTTTGGCAACCGGCATGCACCTGTGACGGTTGCCATATCCCGGGGGACACGTGATCCTCTTTTGGGGGACCTCCTGACAAGCCAAATCAATGGGGGAGCCAGACTCACTTAACGACCATGTTCCTGACTTAACTGCAGAGATTCACTCCACAGGGACAAGGAAGGTCATAAAATGGGGCAAAATTCGCCTAGCAGCTCTCTTGCTCCACCAGGGAAACGTCCGGCTGAATTGTGGCCGTGTAAGTCGAGGGGCACCCAGGGTACCCCCACTTTCTGTCTGTCTGGCTCTCCAGCCATCTCTGCCTGCTCAGGCGGGGGGAGGGAGGGAGGGAGGGCTGGATCCAAGAGCGGAAACTCAGGTCAAGAGGAGCCGGCCGGGGGGTGTCAGGCTTCACAGACCCCAGAGACCCAACACCAGCAGCTCCAGGGGGCTGCTTGTTTTCCTTTGCAAGCAGCAGCCAAGAAGTGGGGTCAGCCAGGAGAGGGGATAATGGGGAGCAGGCAGGGAACAAGAGACGCCTTCGGCCACTCCCCTCGCAGAGGGAAAGGGGCTCAGCCCAGGGAAAAAGGGTGCAGGGCGACTTTCATTCTGTCACTGTTGCTGCCTGCATCATCTGGGCCCTCCCAGGGCTGTTTCTGGATCTTTTCAGCAGGCAGCAGAGAAGCTGGGGAGAAAGAGTTTTTTTTTATCTGAGTTTCTTTCTTTTTTAAATTGGACAGTAAATTGGAGAGGGAGAAAACCCTTTGAAGAAACGGTTGAAATGGAAGTTAGGAAAGTAGATGAATATATAATGCAGGAGTCAAAATAGATGAGATGGAAAAAAAATTCCTAGAAAGAGAGAAAATAACCTAGAAGTTGTTTTAATCAGCAGGCAGTAACACAAATGGGTTTGCAGAAAGTTCGGGGAAAGAGAGGAACGGTAAAGGGAAAAAGGAGGCTGGGGAAGGCTAACACAGGATCGGACTGAGTGAGTGTTTGGATCGAGAGGAATTCTCAGGCAAGTCCGAGACACTGAAAAACATTTGCACATGAAGTGTCAGCCCCACCAGGCAGACCAGGCCAGGAAATCCACTCCCCAGGAAGGTTAGGATCTCTTTTACTGAAACTGGCTACAACTGCAGAATCTTGCTTGTCTGACTGTAGTGAATCCACCCCAGCCCCCTCCTGACACTCCTTTGAAGCAAGGAGGTCTCTGCCAGAGCCGCTTCTGAAAGCTGCCTGAACACTCTGGATTTTAAAAATGCTTTAGCCTCCTTGCCTCTGGGATCTCCACCAAGGTCATCTTCCTCATTCTCTACACCAGGAGTTCTCAACCTTGGCAACTCTGTCTGGACCTCCACTCCCAGAAGTCCCCAGCTAGCCCGGGGCTCTATCCCTTGGGCACACGGACAGTCACAAACCATTTCTGTCCTGCTGGTGAAAAAAAAAATGCTCCAGCAGATAACTGGGATCAGCAGGAGCCGAGTTAATTCCAAGAAGGAAGGCCTGACTTTCTCCAAGACTCCTCTTTGCTTTCCACGCACAGCTCCACCACTGCGCCACGGAGCCTCGGAGAGGCCGAGCCGGTGAAGGGAGAGGGCCTTGGCCATCTGCCCGGCCCAGGCACTCCGGAAACCCTCAGGCTGTGACAGAGCAGCCAGCAGGGCTGGGGAGGGCCGGGAGTTGCTTGGAGGAGGAAGAATGAGAGACAGGCAGGAGGAGCTCCTGGGAGAATGAAAAGGCAACCTGGACATTTTGGGAAGAGAGGGCTCATCCCTCCCCCCCCCCCCCCCCCACCCCGCTGGGTCCTCTCCTCCATGGGAGCATATCCAAGAATCAATGGATGGAAACTAATCCGGGAGAGAAGCAACCTAGAACTAAGGAGAAGTTTCCTGACAGAACAATTAACCAGTGGAACCACCTGCCTCCAGAGGCGGTGAATGCTCCAACACTGGAAGTTTTTAAGAAGAGACTGGACAACCATTTGTCTGAAATGGTATGTAGGCTTTCCTTCCTGAGCAGGGGGTTGGACCAGATGACCTCAGAGGTCCCTTCCAACTCTGTTATTCTATCCTGTTCTATCCTCAGGCCAGCCTTGAATGCTCTTCCTTGGCGGTAAAACCCACCCAGACCGGATCAGGAGGGTCTTACAAGCAGGGGAAAAGAAATGGATCGTTCTACTCAACATGGCTTTTTTTTTTTTAAGGGAAGGCAGCCCCCTTCCCGGGCAGGAGGCGGGGATCCCGGGAGGAGAGCTCGGCCAGGCACCGGAAGGCGGCCGATAAGGGGGAAAGCAAGCAAGGAAACTTGTCAGGAAGTTCCCAAAGGAGCCGCTTCTCTTCTGGGCTGGGCTGGGCTGGGCTGGGGGGGGCGGGGGCGAAGCAAGAAGTTTTAACGGGACTTCTTCGCTCGCGGTTGCACAGTCCGGTTCCGGCCCTGCCTTTTCTGCCAACGCCCCCGAGCGTTGCAAAAGAAGCGGCCGGAGCGGGCCGCAGACCACAGCCGGGGGAGGGGGGGGGGTTCGCCGCAGGCAGCTTCGCCGAGGGGGGGGGCGCCTTCTCGCTCCCGCCGCTGCTGCCCCGCCGGCTGCTCGGAGCAGCCCCGGCCGCCCCTTGGGGTGGGGGGTGGGCAAGTGGGGGGGTCCCGCCCCTCCCCTCCCCGCCCGCCCCTCCGCTCACCCGGACCAGGTTGCTGACGGCGGCTTGCACGGCGGCCACCGGGGCGGTGAGGTCCGGGATGGCCTTGCCGTCCACCTCGCCCTCCTCGTGCATGATGACCAGGTGGGAGATCTGCTGGGCCACCGGCTCCAGGATGCTCTCGATCGTGCGCGTGTGGAAGACCGGCATGGCTGCAGAGAGTCCTCGCCTCCGCGGCGGCGGCGGCGCCCAAGAAGCAGAAGCAGAAGCAGCAGAAGGCCGGCAGCAACTTCGACGGCTGGCCCGCCGACCAGGGAGCGGCGCTCGGGGGAAGCCCGGCGGACTCGGGGCGCGGGGCGAGCGCGAAGGGAGCTCGGGAGCTGCTGCCGCCGCCGCCGCACCGGGACCCTCCGAGAGCCGCTCCTTCGCTCCGCAGCGCCGCCGACGCTCCGCGCCCCGTTCCGCAAAGCTCCCGCAGCCGCGGACTGAAGCCGCGCCCCCCTCCGTGCCGCGTCTCCGCCAATGACGGAGCGCCAGCCCTGCCCTGATTGGAGGAGCCCAGATTCCGAGCTCCCCTGCCCCCCCCTCCCTCCCTCCCTCCCGCCCCTCCTCCTCCTTTGGCCGCTGCCCCCCCAGCCGGCCGTCCCGGGCTCCGCGTGACGTCAGGCATTCTGCGGCCCTTATAAGGCGCGGACGGGAGCCGCGGGCGGGGGAGGACGCCAGGGAGGGGGCAGAGCCCCGCCTCGCTCCTCCCGGCCCTCCCCCTTCCCGGGAACTTCGGGCGGCGACTTCGGGGTCCCGCTGGCTGAGCGGATGCTGGGGACGGGCGTTGCGGGAGCCCCGCGGGCTCCTCCCCCGTCCCCCGTCCCCCCCCCGGGCCTTGGCCGCGTCTCCCTTGAGCTCCGTGGGGAGGGGGCTTCCCCCGCCGCGGCTCCCCTCCCCTCCCCACTTCTTTCGAGGCAGCAGCGGGGCCCTTGGCCCATTTAGGCGAGCCGCGAGCAGCGGGAAGGGGAGGGCCGAGCCGCCGCTCCCTCCTCGGCTGCCCAGTCCCGAAGGCGAGGCTGGCCGTGACATACCCGAGAAGCTGCTGCAAGGGGAGCGGGGGGGGGGATGCGGTCCGAGCTGCGGTCCGAGCTGGGGCGTGGCGGCCCCGGGGCCCGGCGGGACCAGCAGGGCGCAAGGGGCGCGCCTCGGCCCAGGCGGGGGTCTCCGCCGAGAAGCCCCCGAGGCGGCCTTTTGGGCCACGGTGAGGGCAGGCCGAGGACCCCGCCGCTCGCCTCCTGCCTGCCCGCCCGTCTTCCCAAGTTGAGAATTGGACGAAGGGACAAAGCGCGCCCGAAGCCTGCGAGGGGGCGACTCGGCCTTCCTTAACCAGGTTGGGGCCGCTGCCGCCTCCCCCCAGACTTGTCCCCCGGCCGGTCACTCTTGGCCTGCGGCCACAGTCCAAGTCTGAACAGGCCAAGCGCAGCCGGCCAGGAATGACCCGTTTGCTGGTCTCTGCTTCCAGTTATCAGAAAAGGGGCTTCAGTTAACGGTGGTGGGAAAGTCTGTCCCGCTGCCCGGCCTTTCCCTGCTCCCGGACCGGGGCCCTGGGCATCGGGGTCAACACTTGTACTGCAGTCCCAGTTGGACTCAGCCACTTTATCGTCAGAATGCTGTGCTAAGCAGTATCGGCTGCGATGTGGGAGATCTCTTTGCCCCCCCCCCAGAGGCTTCCCCACCAGAGCCAGGCGCCCTAGACCTCCTTCTTAGTCCACTGACCCCCCCTGGGAAGACTCTCGGGTGGTATCTGCATCCCCTCCATTGGAATGGGAAACGGGGGGGGGGGGAGAGAGATGTGTTAAATCCTCATTTCCAGACCAGCGGCCACCAGTTCAAATTGTCCAGCTAGCCTGTTAGTGCTTCCTCTGTCCTTGTATCCAGGCGGTCCAGGTCCTCTGGATCCACCCATTCCTCCAGGTCAGCTACTTCAGACACTCCGCTCTGCCTGTTCTGACTGCTGGCTGTTCCTGAGCGGGAACACGAGGCAAGCACAAAGGAGGCAACTGTATCTCTGCCCACAGACTACACCCAAGGACTCTGTGCTGGTCCAGAAGCGTCTCTGGCACTCTTTATGATTCCACAATCCTGATCGGGCTCAGCAAATGAGCCCATTTACTTCCCGCTCAGCTGTGTGTCACTCAAGTTGCAAAAAAGAGAGCCATTTTTACTGTTCGTAACCGTCATGCTTTGCAGAGCTCAGAGCAATCTTACACTCCACTGCAGGGAAATCTGGCCTCGCCCTTCCTGCTGGCTCCTGAGCAGAGCGGGTGATAGGATCTCCTACCAACTGCTGAGATTTTAGTATAGAAAGAAAAATGATCCCTAGAAGGTAAGACCCTCCCTTATAATCTACAGAAACCAAGCAGCACCTACTGTTGCTCCCAGCTCCCTGTTGTGGTGATCTCCTTGCTCTCCATCACCTCATCTTGTGCGTGTCCTGTAAGAAAGGGAAGATGGGCCTGATGGTCCCTCACCAGGGCTGGTAACTACTCTGCTCCAGACAGGCTCCAGGGCTTTGCTAGCTCAAAGGAGTTTGCAGGACTGCAGGCGAAGGAGTCCTTCAAAAGGGCAGAGGGCCTGAGTGATGTCCTATAATCTTTTCCATTTGTGTCATTTGCACAACGGGTTCATGATACAATCATCTCATTGTGACTTTGTCCATGGAGACCAAGGAGTCCTTCATATATGAGTCAGACTGCAGAGTGCAAGCAAAGTTTGTTTTTTTGAAGTTTATTATACCATAAAATACAAATAGAAGATAAGGGAATAGAGAAAGATAAGGAAGAGGATGGGGTGCAGGATAAAAGGAATGAAAAGCAGTGACTTCCAACTGTTTTTGGTGCACTAGAAGACAAAATACAGTTAACAATGGCATCTCTTTGCTTTGAATATTTGGTGAGTGTTAGCCATTTCTATAATAACAAAATTAATCTAATTGTAAAAACCTACAATCAAAGTTTCATTTTTTTTCAGTTCCAAGCAAAAAGACCAGATGTGGTTTTTAAGTGGAAACAAAACTGGATAAATTCTTTTCTTTAATTAAAGTAGTTACTTTTGCTGTCTCTGCCGACTCCATCACTTTTTCCATCCGTCCTTCCATTGTGGAGATTGACGTGTCTTCCCACTTTTGCACATGTAGAATTCTCACCACAGTCACCATCCTTTGCGTATGAGTCTACTGCAACTTTTTATTCTCCAAACCTCAAATCAGGGGTCATTATGTGGAAAGTGAAATTGTGGAAAGGGATCCTTACAGCTACATGTGCAAGCAGTTGTGAGGAAAGAGAATGGCTGGAGGGAAAGGCTGTACGCTGTTCAAAAGTATAAATCCATTCCAAATCTTGAGCGTAACCAAACTATTGTCTGGCTATGATAAATTATACCCTCCCCCAAATACCTCCGATACCCCAACAGGAGACAAGCCAACAATCTCAGAATGTCAGGTTTTTCTACAAATTTACTTTTTTGTCTCAAGCATCTGACAGAGTTCAAAGAGAAATGCCTTGGGGGGGGGAGGTGTCAATGACATTTGCAACATGCTTCAAAGACACCAGGATCCCCCCCCCAACCAGGATTTATTTGGAACATGGAAATACTGGCTTATCAGGGAGCTTGATGGGCATAGTCAAGTACAAATCTACTTTGCTAGCATACATTCAGAACAAATCCTCATCATTTATAAGTGCTATTTTGAAACACAGAGGGAAACAGTTGTGACTTTACCAAAACTTCTTTAATTCCACAGGGGAAATGTGCCAACATCATTGTGAGGTTGTCATTTCAATCCTTTTGAAGCAGAATTTTTTTTTAGCTGAATTGTAAACAAAATTAATTTAAAAACCACCTTCTTAGTTTATCACATGAAGCAGTCTTATTCACACAGAGCTCATAAAAGTCTGCCTGACAAAACACAGATTATTCTCTTGGACAGAAAAATAGTCATTCTTGTATGATGTGAGGCTTGGGTTGTTACTGTGAGGGTAAAATATGCAATTTATAAACAGGTTTGTAGGGCGGGTAGATCTATGTGCTTATTTCAGTCTGAGCTGATATAATCCCTACATTTTTCCAAATTCTTTATAGTTGTATTGCCTTCTGGAATTCAAAAAGCTTTTAAAAATAGGGCAAACCTTTTTGTAAAATTAATTTGTCTTGCCTGTATTCAAACATTTCCCTGAGCCCCTGTGTTTCCGTGCACTCAAATGTCCCTCTACGTGCATTTTACTGCTTTCGACAAAGTGCCAATTCGGTTGTGGATCTGTGGTTCTGTTCTCTCAACATACAGAGCAAGGTCAGAGGGCGTCTGTGTTGTGGGAATATCAAAAGGGCGTTAATTCAGCCCCAATGAGTCCAACTTAACTCCAGTCGTGCATAACAAATACCATACCAAGAAACACAAAACTGACCGACAGGTGATTGCATTAGCCTGCAAATGCAGTGATTACACGCCTGCGTCATCACATCGGGTGCAAATGTGTAAGTTGCAGCATTTCTGTGATGACTTCACATCTTGCAGGTTGGCAGTTTCCTGACCTTCTGAAAAAGGGTCACTCCTGCTGATTCGTACCCCAAAGTCCTGGGAGGGAGGGTTGTCTTACTTTGCCATTAAGCCAGGGGAAAATATACCCCAAAGAAAACCTTGAGGCAGGGCAGCCCTCTCCACCACAGGTCCTCCTTCAGGTGTGCTGACAGGGTGAGCTTCCCAGCTCCCCGTGCTCCTCGTGGCCGGCCCCTTTTCCCTCTTCCCACCCTGGAGGGGGGATCGGTCCTGGGGGATCGTCGTTAAGGCCGTTTCATGCCTCCCAGCTATTCTGCCCAAGCTAAGCCTCCCCTGCAGGGCCGGTGGGGAATAATCTGTCTCCGGACTTCCAAGGGTAAGCTAGGTGCGGGGGGGGGGAAGGGACTGGCTTTCTTTGACCTATGCACTGACTCGTAATCCTGATTTTTACGCACAGCGCAATGAAAAGAACATTAATATAGTACATATTTAACTGGGAAGAATCTCCCATGCTTTCATAGAAGCAAAACTACAAATATTTGGTCTGTGGTTGAAAATTAAAATAGAAAGAGGAACTTGAATTTATCATCTCTTTTTATAGGCACAGGAAACCTGCCCACCCCAGTTAACGAAAGCCCCCTCCTGACTTTCTTTCTCTTCTGGCTATGCA